GTTAAATTCACAGTCATTTTTTACAGTGCAGTACAATAGAGTGTAATTCATCTTCTGGAGAGTTTACTGTTAACATCATCTCTCTTTATTTTTCTCTTCAGGTGACTGTGTACTCATGTGATGGAAAATGTCCATCTGCCACCATCTTCAACTTTAACATTAACAGTCATGCACGTTTCTGCAAGTGCTGCCGTGAGAACGGCCTCCAAAACCGCATCATTCAGCTGTACTGCACTCGAAATGCCACTACAGTGGACTATTACTTCCAGGAGCCGATGGACTGCTCATGCCAGTGGAACTGATTCCATCCGGACTGTGTGCAGTAAAGTTAAGATCTCAGTGAGAGCAATAGCTTAACGCAGAATCCGACTGCATATACAGTACAGTATCTGTAAAACCGCAAACTACTAACACAATCACTGTATTTGTTGTGTCTTTGATATCTATAATTTATCTGTAAGTACAGTAGGTTAATCAAACATTTATTCAAACAAGAACAACAAACTGCTGTTTAATTGGTGTATTGTTTAGATTTTAGTATTAACATTTGTTAAATGATGAAATGACATGGGGACGAGTATTATTCGAATCATTATTTTCCATTAACATTTTAAATACATTTATACATTTTAAAATCTTTACTTTAACCAAATGCTTTATTTAAATGTGCTTTTTCTAACAAAAAATGCTTTTTTTATTACATTTTTTAATTACAGAGAAAATAAACACGCCAGTCTTAAGCCCTGTTCACATCAAGAGTGATAATGATAAAGATAACTATAATAATAACTATATTCGCATCCAACCCAACACACGATTTCAATATTATGTTTATTATAAGCACGTTGCAGTTTTGTCGTCTGCCATCTAAATCTCTTCAAAACAGGATGGATTCTGATTGGCTGTCAGTGTTTTTATCATTCATCATTTTGCATGTGATTCCAACAATGTTGTTTCTCTGTGCTGTTATTATTATAGTTGAGTTGTGCAATTCTTTTAAATTTAGAAAATTTTTTAAACCTTTATCGTTATCTTACCTTTGTGTGAACAGGTCTTTAAGTAGGTATTAGATATTTTAAGAGAAATCCCACACAGTTGCTTGACAGGCGCATCCATCACTCACTAGTTGTGTTGACAGTCTATGTTTAAGCCGTCTCTAAAAAAACATAATGTGATGAACTTGAATTTCCATACTATAGCCATAATGCCAAAAACATGATTTCTGCTGGAAGTGAACTAAATTGTATAAGCCTAAATATACCTTAGCATATAGCAAACTACCTATAAACCTGCATGTTATTGTCACTGTTTTTTAAATAATAAAATAAAAATACAAAAAAATATATTTTTCCATATGCACTGTGCAAATCAATCATTTAATTGATTTACCAAGCTATTTTATAATATTCCATTAAATTAGCCACAGATTAGTATACAGCCGATATGAATCATTTAGAAAATGTAGAAGTTTTGTTTCACCTTTGTGTGTGAATATTCCATTTAAGACATTTCACTGTAAAATTCCCAAACAGAATAAATAATAATCAGTAAAACTGCAGAAAAACAATTGGCATGTATCTTGGCCTCCATCACCGGAAATGTAGCATCTTCACCCTGATCTAATTCCAGCAGTGATTTATTAACTAGATCAGCCCACGCATGGCTTGAGTTATATCCTGCTGAGTTGTGTTTTGCTTTCAAGTCAGGTAATTAAAATGTTGGAGAAGTTCATCTCCTCCCTCGCGAACATCTGCTGAATCAGAATTTAAAGGAATGTTGTGAGTTCAATACAGTGAACTCTCGATTTCCAGAGAGAATAACATTGACTTATCACTTTATTTGTACAGTAAAAGCAGCAAAGCATTGACAATGAAAGTCTGAAGCAGTGATATAAACGTTAAAATACACACTTCGAAAGCTGCCAAAATAGAAATATTACAAAGCTGTATAGCTCAAATAAGATTGATGTAAGATCTTTAACAAAAAGCTGCGAGCTGTGAATTTTTGCTTTCACATTTGCCCATTGCAAGTGCTTTTAAGGGTAGTACTGTATATGCAACTTGTATTGACTCTGAAACATTCCAAACATTACATAATGTGTGTTAATTAATTATTCTTGACAGCTAATATAAATTGTTTTGAGTTTATTCTCATTGGGTGATGTAATGCATGTAGGAGTGTAGTGCGGGATTTTTGTGTCTGTTTTATTCTCGTAACGTTAACGCAACTCCGCGACCAACCCTGCTTGACTTTTGTCATCTTGACAAACTGTACTTATTTCGATTAGGTACAAAAGAAAGACAAAGAAAATATGGGGTGGAGAGGCTGTCTGATCTGAATGAATGAGACGCAGAGCTGCTTTCGGGAGGAGGTGTGGTTGAATCCTCCAGTGTGGGGTTTTGTAATGTTGTAAGATGCTGGCATGGGCATCTGGAGTGGCAGGGGAGGCGTGTCCTCAAGGAATGTGGGGTATTTTTTTGTGGAAACTGAACTGAGCTAAATTTTTTGCTCTAAGATGCCACGGAGTGCTCTTATGACCACAAAGACTGTTTTTAGGATGCTGCTGACCATACTATTGTAGTGTAGGTTATTATTACAGTGCAAGCTGCAAGGCTCAAGACCGTAGTGTTTTGGTTTAAGGATATGGTGTCGTCTATGGACACTGGAATTATGGGATGGAGCTCCATGGACAAAGTTCTGGCATTGTTTTGGCAACTTCTGCACTTCTTTCAGGTAATGATTTATTCAGACTTAATTAGATTGCATCGTCAAGTTAAGGAAAATGCATTTGCTGTGAAGGAAAAAGATATGTGGCTTTCTGAGAGTTTGAGTTACGTAAGAAATGCTGTTTGTGTTAGAAACTTTCTAAGCTGGAATAGTTCTTTAGAAAACTTGAACATGAAATCAGAATTAACCCTGTTTGCTTTCTTAATAAATGTTCCTGTGCCATTATTCATTATTGTACGTTATTTCAAAGAGAATATGTTTGTCTTTGCAATCTTTTATCACAATCTAGTAACTTGCTTTGCATCTGAAATGCCTTTCTTTTTCAGCTGACGTCATCTAGGCCAGAAATAATGTTATTTATTAGCCAAATACTGTAGTCTGTAGTCTTTTTTACTGTAGTGCTCATTGTTTTAGGCAATGCAGCCTAAATCTAAAAGTAATTCAGTGGCATGTAACAGTAATGTAATTAATACGGCAATAATATTGCAATAATACTTTTTACCATTGGAATAAGTCCCTTTTCTATTTTTATCATTGAATGTATCACTCAGAAATGCAATACATGCAGAAGCTCTTTGTGAACATCATTTCATGTTGATTTTAAAGATAGCAGTCATAATATATTAAAGCTTGATAGAAAAATTTTGATCTGCCCTCAGCCCTATGGATTTTTTTTTCCTCTTGTTGTCCTGCAGGCTTTCAGCCTTCCATGTTCCAGAAGTCCATCCTCTGTCCATGTGCAGGTGGCATTTCTGTGTTTTCCATCTCGGACAGATCATTTTTATACACTTTTATTGGGAAACAAGGTGCGATGCAATCACCATCCCTCTCACATGCTCACACGCTCTTAAAAATAAAGGTTCTTTACTGGCATTGATGGTTCCATGAAGATTTTTTAACATCTGTGGAACCTTTGAATGGTTCTTTAAAGTTTACATTGGACAAAAATAAAAGGTTCTTTTAAATTATGAATAGGTTCTTCACACTAAGGGAAATGGTTCTTTTAAGAAATGTTGACTGAAAGGTTCTTCAGGGAACCCAGAATGGAACTTCTTTGGCATCTCGGTGTTATAAGAGTGCACACTGATAATATTGTGACCCTGGACCACAAAACCAATCATAAGTAGCATGGGTATATTTGTAGCAATAGCCAACAATACATTGTATGGGTCAAAATTATTGATTTTTCTTTTAT